GCTTCTGTTGATATAATTCAGTAGTTTGATTGAAAGTCATACTTCCATGTTTATGGTTTGTTATAGGACAGAAACAAGTGAAAATTACTGGTTTGCACACAACTCCATACAAATCATATGCAGAATCTTCAGAATGATTTATCCCTGGTGGTTTGTGGGAAGTACTTGTTCCACATATTACGCATATGCTATAAAGACATTTATTTATTTTAAAGATTTAAATAGCTTATTTTATACACCATAATGGTGGGTAGTTTACATACAAAAACCAGAACCAGCATAAAAATTTGCAGTGGCCCAGCCAGATGCAGTCCCAAGTTTGTTGGAAAAATCAAGTCTTCAAACGCTTTTCAGAAAACCAGGCGGATAGGGGTCTGCTGGATCTCTGAGGGAAGGTTGTTCCAAAGGGCAGGGGCTACTACCAAGAAGGCAGACTACTTAGAGCCTGCTAGTTGGCAACATTTAAGGGAAGGAACCTGGAGCAAGCCCACTCTGATCTGATGGAGAAGGCAAATAACCTCAAGTGATCTCACAAACAATCTGGCCCCATGCCATTAAGGGCTTTAAAGGAGATAATAAGAATCTTGAATTGCAGTCAAAAAGAAAATTGAAGGTAGTATAGCTTATATAGCATCAGCGTACCATGGGCAAACCATGGGATGCCTAAAACTTCACATGCTACTGCATTTTGGATCAAGTTCTATTTCAAAGTTTCAGATGCAGCCACTACAAAATACTATCTCTATTAAAAATGGAAGGAATAAAATAGCAAACCAATAAAAAAACAGGGAAAGGATGCATATTGAGCAACATGTCCTTGTTTTGGTTATACTACAACAGTAAGTTTGTAAACATTTCAGAACTATCCTTAACCCTGCTGTACTATGAGCTGCAGTGTGCTTTAAACTTCATCTCAGATCTATTAGATTAGATTCAACAAATGCTTTCTGCATTTTTTTTAACCAATTGTGTAGTTTGATTTCTAAGCATTTTGACCCTTTCCCTTTTGTATAACAGCTTTGTTTCATTGATAGTTTGGGCTTGTCTTAGATGAACACCTTGTTTTAGGTCACATATATTTTCAGTTAGGCTAACTGTTGTAAATATCCAGCAGTCTCCTCCCAACGGTAAAATTTGCTATTTCCAGAATCTCTAGTTCCTCCCTAATTATAATTTGTCAGGATCATAAGGCTGAAAAACAGCTCCAATCCATGAAAATTCCCATCACTATGCTTACAGTTAATTATTTTTACTGGAATTCAATAGTTCGTTTTTCTTCAAAAATAATTTTTTTCATTAATATCCAAAGTTCTATTTTCATCTCAGTCTGTCCACAGAACCCTGTTTTAGTAGCCTACTGGATCATCTGGCAAAGTTGAAACTTGTGGCATTGTGTTTTTTGGAAACCAGTGGTTTCCTCTTTGATAACCTTCCATTCAATCATTCTTCTTCAGTGTCTGTCTTATGCTAGAGTCATGAACACTGACATCAGTGCATTGTTCAGTGCAAGAATGGCTTGATGTTTGCTGTTCTCTGGGCTCTTTGTGATCTCCCAGAAAATTGTAAGGTTTGGTCTTGGGAAATTTTGTGTTGGATGACCAGTCTTGGAAGTAACACTTGTGTTGCATTTTCTCCATCAGTACACTACCTGACTGTGAATTGATGGAGGCCATTCTAGTCTCATGAACATCAGGAACACCTTTTTACATGTTTACACAAAACTGGACTGTGAACAACATTTTGATGATGACAGGCAATGTTTGTTTTATTAATAGGCTTACAAGTGCTCTGAGCACATAGTAAGTAAAATCTTGCAGGATTACGGATAGCTCCAAAAGATGCGTGTGTTTTCTCTTCTCTTTTTTTTCCTTCCTAACATCTTTTTGGACGTGCAGGATCTTGGCCCAAATTCACCTAATCAGCCTTCATGTTCAAGGTGGGACTAGAACTCACAGTCTCCTTGTTTCTAGCGTGGAGCCTTACCTACTAGACCAAACCGGTTCTTACACTTTTCCTCATTTGTTCTGTCCAAAAAAGATACTGAAGGATGTTCATTTAATCAGAATTTTCTTATTTAGTATAATGATAAAGAAGTAAAGAAATGGAAAATAAACAGCAACCATAGTATTTTCTTACAATTCTTTCATATAATCAGAAGTTAACATTGTTTCAAACAGCAATTATAAGTCAGAATGGGTACAGAAATTAGGACCTTTGTAAAATGCTACTGAATTTACTGAAGCTTATTTCTTGGTAAGGATGCAATGGTTACAGATTAGGATGTTCTTAGTGAACGAACTTTAGGCTCATCATATTATTGATACATTTATATAAAAAGAGAAATGGGGACATAAGCAGTATAAATGATGTAGACTCATTGTAGAGACATTATTGTCTTGTCAATTGATCATACAATGACAAATTAATTGGCCACCCAATTTCAACTTTTTCATTAGTTTTAATATTGCTCACATATTCATTTTAATGGAAATGTAGTCTGAATTTATTAGTTGATTAGTAAGCTCTATAGATAAATGCAGTTAAAAAAATTGAACACCATAGGCTTCATAGCAACCAATATCTGATGTCCAAAACTTTAATGGTTTAAGACCTCTCAACTGAAATATGGAAAAAAGTAACATTTATTCAAACAAAAGAACATTCACTGAGAGCATAAAGTGCAAACCCACATTTTACCCTGGAAATCTTGGAACACTGCTTGTCTGGTAATTTTAAAAGAATTGTGGTCTGCCAGTTCTGTGATAGTATCACTTTAGAAAGTTGTAAATTGTTTCCCCAAATATACAGAAACCCTCTATACACAGGAATGAATTACACAGCACAGTAAACTAGATATCCAAGATTCTACCTTCCCATTTCAGGTTTTAAAATACTGGATGCACAACTCATCCCACTACACAGAGCACATTATGTTCCTGTTTTGCAATCAAAATCCACATGTAGTAAGTGGAAGTTGGTCTTTAAATATTTGAAACAACTTTGTTCATCTTATTTTATTTACTAGACAATCTCATTTGGATTAGTATAGCCTATTCAGAGAAAACATGGAGGATTAAGCTGTGCATTTATGACACGTTTATTTCTTTTATGAAATAGTCTGAACTTTTTCTCAGATTACGTTCAGAAACAAAATGGATGCAGCCATTAAAAGACTTACTAATGGCAAATACCTCAAGACAGTTTTAGGGGGAGACAATACTTTTTTTGTCATTTAACAACAAATATATGTTGCTCAGGAGATGATCACATGTTTATATTGCATGATATGCTAAATAATAACTATTATTAAACTATAGATGCTAAACCAAAACTAAACAAATCCTGTTATGTCTTACTATGCTGTGGGTATCAGACCATCACTTTAAGCCGTAATGTGATTTCTTTGTTTTGGTATAACATGTTGGAATACAGCCAGCATTATCCATGGGTTTTGATTTAAACATGATATGCAAGGTCAGTAATTTTATTTTTAGCAGAAAACCAAATCTTGCCACTGAAGTTCCCTTCATAGTGTGCTCTGAAGGAATCCGAACAAATAAAAATTTATAGAAGGTGACCCACACATTGAAGTGTAGTGCAACCATATCAAAAAAATAAAATAGCTTGGGAACTTTTTTTTTTTTCTTGTTGCCTGCAAGATACACTGTCCTGTCTGCATTTCCCCAATGGGGGAAAAAAACAATTGTACCCAAGTTGCATTGTTAACTATATTAGTATTCGAGGTTTGTCTGTATATAGATAAAATAGACAAGTTAAATGCATAGAGAATAGTTGTGGGAGACAAACAATGACACATTCCCTCTATTATTCCAACAATAACAGGCGCTGGGCTGTGCGTGTAAAAAGTGCACCTAGGTTCTGGAATCGCTGTACCCGTAGTAAATTGGCACTCGGGCTTATTTTACTCCAAACGTGGGAGATCTGCCTCGGCAGCTTTGCACACAAACATCAATCCGACCAGCGGGCACGCAGGCACTTGCCAAGCTCCTCTGCAACTGGCTGGCTGGCGGGTCAGCTCTTGTCAGTCGCACAGGTCCACCTCCCCAAACCTTTTCCTTCTCTGGCCCAGTTCGATTCTAACCCAGCTCCCACCTGGGAGATAACAATTTCTCTCCACTACGAGAGCGAGTCCTGGCATCTCTCAGTGGCCCGCTGGCACCGAGCGGGCAAACGAGGTAACCCCGCTTTCTCCTCTCCGTCTGCCTACCGCAGCTCACCTTGCCCGGCACTCCACGGTGATCCGTGCTGCCTTGCCAGAACCTCCTGCTGTAGCCCGTGATGTATCCTACCATCTTGTCCTCGTAAGGAAAATCCACCTTCCAGATGAGAGAGCCATATCCGAACACCCACATGTTTCTAGCCCCGTCACTCTTTGCTTCGCTGACTGGGGAAGAGGGAGGGGACGGGCAACAGCGGTCCTGGGGGCTGCTAGGGCTTTGCATATTCTCTCCAACCTTTGTTGAGCAGGCAGAGCACACAGCAGAGCGCAGGGCCCGCGCTCAAAAGAGCCCCAACCTCCGAGCGGACTCCGCTTCCACTTAACCACGTGCCCCTCCACTGACTGTTTCGCCGGGAGAACTGGGGAGCTTTTTGCCGGAGACCGAACTCAAACTACAGCTCCCGGCATCCCTTTCTGAGCCGGGAAAAGAAAGGCTGGGTGTCAACCGGCTGCTCCTGCTCGGCTAAAGCTTCTGATGCTCTTTGGGAGAGCCGCTCCGAGCCCCAAGCGCCGAGCGGTTGCCCCTCCTTCCCTAGAAAAGAAGCCCCGGGAGCCCCGGCGAAGATCTCGGGTGAGAAGAGCGGGCAATGAAGGGAGCGGGGCTGTGATCGGTTCCATTGATCTGGGCTCCTGCTCTTTCTTTGGCAAGGGCAGGAAGGAGAAGTGGGAGGCGCGTTGGCTGCTTCGTCCTGCACGGCGAGGGGCAAGCCGGATTGGCGACGGGTGTTTGGCGCGGCCTTTTTTTTTTTTAACAAGACGCCTCCGCCATCTTACGGAATATCCCGCGCCGAGTGGCGGAGCCCGCTGAGGGAAGCATCTTCTCAGTTTTCCCTACAGGCTGTTCCGGCAACGACGTGGAACCGTCGTGGTGGCAAGGGGGTTGCGCCGAGCTTCCCCCTTTGAGGTTCTTGGGCCAGGCAGCGGGTTTTAACTTCAAACTAGGGAAGTGAGGATTCGGGTTCTGCAGCCCGTTGAGTCTCAAAGGAGGCGTCCTTGCTCTTTGCTTACTTTGCTGCACGAATGTAACCTGTAACTTTACGCGATGCTTGAGTATGTGCTTTGAATCCAGTTGGGTCAGTATCCTAATTCGTATTCAGTTAATCATTGCATTTCTCTCTCCTTTTCCTTCTGGGAGTTTAGAATGCCCGATGTGGAGATCGCCGTTCATGTAACAAACTTTGAGGAAGACCAATTTGTGATAAGCCCCAAGTCAGCCTTTTTCTGGTCTCTTCAGCCCAAGCCATAATCAGTATTAATTCTTGCCTTAGGCGTGTATTCATACATTGCACTAGTGATGAATCAAACTACAGTTGGGTGAATTATAAACTATATAATTTGTTATGTAGTCATGTACTATAGTGGCTGAGTGTACTGTGAGCCATAATGATTTTGATATTGGGTGAACTCATTCAAAACATTAAATGAATGTTGGTGACAATAGAATTATTATTACATGGAAGAGATTTTGCAGTTGTTTATGATGAATTTAAAAAGGGTAGCCTTCAAAGTTTATAAAGAAATTTCCAGAAAGCCTTCTGATTTTGTGCTAGTTACATAAGTTTATTTTATATAGTGTGTGAGTGACTTGTGAAAAGGGCCAGTTACCTCTGTTGATGCTGTACAGATGAAGTTCAACTCCTGTTGAATCTGAGTGGTTTCATTAGCTAGAAGTCATAAAATTCTTCACAGTGGGCCTTTCAGACTTTTTATGAAAATTGTATTTTTAATCAGACACAACGAAGTGGCAAAATATCTAAATTTGGTTGTTGGATTTTCACTGTGTAGATACAGATGTGAACTCTTACTAGTCATTGGACTCAAAATGGGTCTTCCTCTGTGATTTCATCTCCATAAGCTCCAAGGAGCAGTATTGGATCTGTGAGAAGAGAGAGATCACTACAGTGTAATTTGGTCAAACTCTTCAGCTTCCCCTTTATTTTAGTGGATGATCAGTCTTAACTGCCAAGTGCCAGTCAGATTCTTGGAAAACTGCCCAGGTGCCTTCTGAAACCTCATTGGATCCATTAGGTACCATGGGTTGACTCATCTGATAGTTCACCCCTGTGAAGAGAGGTTGCACAGCAAAACTCCTAAACAAAGGAGTGATCTGAGTGTTGTTCCTTTGTTTTTCATGTTCAGAGTACTACAGAAGTAAGCAATGTGATCTTACTGAACATCACCCACAACAGTCCATTTCAGTTAACTTCAAATGTGATCATGTAGTTCCTATGTTGCATTTCCCACTATAATTCTGTCTTTGCATTTTCTTTTTCTATGTGGCACCGTTAGGTGTCCTGAATAATTTAATCAATCTGACATGAACACTATGGAAAGTCCTTAACTCTTTCTCAGTAGCATGTTGATTGCCATCCGACCAGCATCAGAGGCCCAGCACCAGCCTCTAGATTGTCAGTTACCATAACTAACATCTAAACTACCCAAGTAGTTTTCTAATAAAATACAGGAGTGGTTTGCCATTGTCTTGTCTCACACATGAAATGGTGCCTTTACTGTTGTTACTAAAGTGATTGTTCTCTTCCAGCATTTTCCTACATTGCTGCTGCCTGATACATGGGTCTGTTTGCTTTGGCTGGGATGCTCTTCATGCCTTGGTGACCCTGCAAGATGTATATACTCTGGGCATGGCCTTCTGATGTACTTAATATTTTCTGAAAATAAATTTATTGTAGGTGTGCCTATCAGATATATTTCTGTAGATTTATATTCTAATGAGGATAACTTTTATTGAAACAATACACTGTTGTATTTTTTTCCATTAAGTTCATGGGCTATTCCTCTTTATTTTCTCCTACCTTTGTTAGGATGGATTTTACAGAAGCCTATTCTAATAGATGTTCGGCTGTTGGGCTAGTAGCCAGAGAAGGCAATGTTAAACTTTTGAAGAAACTAATCAGAAAAGGATACAGCATTGATGTTCCTGATAACAGAGGTTGGATGGCTATTCATGAAGCTGCATTTCATAACACAAATGAATGTCTAAAGCTTTTAATTCAAGCAGGTAAGGAGAAATGTATCAGCAGTAGTGGTATTTATATGCTCTCTGATTCAGAGTAATGGGAAATTCCAGAGACTCCATTTTTTTTCCAGGAGTTTAGTTTCTTTAAACAGGTAGATATTTCAGAAGTTACAAAAAGCATAAGAACTGACCCTTAAACCATACTCTCAGTACCTTAAGCTACTGATACTCAAGGAGCAGAAGGTCAAAATTTGACGTGATTTTTTTGGGTTTTTCTCTATCCTAAGTAGCAAGCAAAACAGGTGCACTAGGATTCCAGCAATTTTTTTAACACATTTAATCTAAATTCCTTCAAAATATGGCCAAATATTTTTCTGCCTCCCTCTAATGTCATTATTGCTACTATGACTCTTGGAGGCTGTAATAATGTGTGATCTCCATTCCCTTGATTTTAAAGGAGATTATTCCCACTTATTTAGAAATATATATAAAATGAAGATAAAATTAAGCCTTGTAGTAGTTCTCCAATTGACTCCAATTTCCCATTAGATATCTAATTGATGAAGAGTAGATTAATCATATCTGCCAATTGTCTGTGTACAGCAGGGGTGTAAAACTCAAGGTCCGGGGGCCATATCCAGCCCCCTGGAGGCTTAGATCTGGCCCACAAGGCTGCCCTGGAAACAGTGAAGGACCAGCCTGCAGTGCCTCTGCCAGTGCAAATGGAGCTCGGGTCCATTGCCCCCCCCCCCCTCAGCACAGGCCCCTCAACACAAGTGACATTGAGCTGGCCCCGCCTACCCTGGCCACACATCCCAACCATGCCCACTCTGGCCGCCCGAGGTCAAACACAAATCTGATGCGGCCCTCAAATCAAGTTTGACATCTCTGGTATATAGCATTGGAAAACATCATTATATGTTACCATGTCAACTTACCTTTGCTAGGTCTTGAGCTGTCATAACATTCCAGGTGAGAGATATACTTACTGAAATTTTTAAATCAAGAATCACTGAGTTAGTGGGATTCTGTGAGGTCATCACCCCAACTATTGTTATGATAACAAATCAAGGAAGAACAGTTTCTCTGTTCTTCAGTCAACTATATTTTTCAGGATAAGAGTTTTTTTTTTTTGAAAACAATTTTATTGGTTTTTTTAACAAACAAACAAAACAGACAAAACATAAAAGCATCAGCTCTCTTCCATACTTATATACAAACAGTGTGTCGGTTGGTTCATCAGTTTTATGCATTCATTTCGTAGTCTCAATTACAATTATGTTACATAATAACTCTTATTATCAATCCAAACTTATATATCCTCATATCATTATTAAAAAAAATCATTTGACTATACTTTTATTCATTCATACTTTATGAGATAACTATAATTTAGGTAATTTATTCTATAACAAATCATATAATCATACCAATTCTATCCTAAAAAAAACACTTTATAGATGTAGTGTCAAGTAGCAAAAGAAAGAGAAAAAACAAAGATATTCCTTATTATCTAACATTCTAAATATTCTATTTTTGTATTTCATCGTCCAACCATTGATAGAAAAGGTCCCAAATTTTATAAAATTGTTTATCTTCTTGCTCTCTAATTTCAAATGTCAATCTACTCATCTCAGCACATTCCAATATTTTCTTAATAATTTCTTCCTGCAATGGAATTTTCTCATTTTTCCAATTTTTTGCAAATACAATCCTAGCCCTTGTTAATACATTTACAATCAAATATTTCAAGTCTTTACTATATACATCTGGTAGGATTCCCAATAAAAAAAGCTCCGGTTTCAAATCTATGTGTTTCTTTGTCATTTTTTCCAACCACATGCGGATTTTAGTCCAATATTTTCTAGCGTCCTCACAAGTCCACCACATATGGTAATATGAACCAGGTATCTGATGACATTTCCAACATTTTTCAGATTTATTCTTGAACATTCTTGCTATCCTTGTCAGGGGAAAATGCCACCTGTAAAACATCTTATACAGATTTTCTTTATAAGCTGTAGACATTGTCATTTTATAATTTATAATAATTATTATAATAATGACAAAATTATAGGATAAGAGTTTTAAAATCTGCTAAAAAGTATGTTCAGAGCATACTGTAAGAACAGATTTTTTTTTCAGCAGGAAATTTTTTTAAAGTATGGAAAATGTACCTGTGTTTTTGCTAAGTGCTATTGCTACATGCAAATCAGGCCTGCAAATCAAATTATATTTATAAAATGATTTCTTATAAGGCTCTTTTGAAGGATCAAGGTATATTACATGAATTATTTTCTTCATGAGAGGATTTTTGACATAATGACTTCTGCTAATTTTTAACTTAATAAATATTGAATAGGGTAGACAAACTTGTGCATCCTGGAAGCTACACTTTATTTTTGGGGATGCAAAAATTGTGGTTGATGATTATTATGTCACTAGAATGGAGGAGCAGGCTTACTATCTATCTATCTATCTATCTATCTATCTATCTATCTATCTATCTATCTATCTATCTATCTATCTATCTAATTATTTATTTATGGAAGTATTTAGAAGGTATTTAAATGCCCCACAAATGAACTAACTTTGGGGCCCATGATGAGACTACGATTTATATACCCGTGATATCAAAGTCCAATATTTCATTATATTTCAGTACTATTTCCAGCTGAAAAATAGTAATTGGAAGATTATATGGTATTTGTAGAAAAGAAAATAATTAATAAAAACAGCTAAAATGCAATACTGGTCCTAAATTGGTATTGTAAGGGAATGCCTTCTAGTAAAAGGGTGTCTTTACTTTCTTAAGGGAAAACAGACAGGAGGCAGATAGGCAAAAAAAATATGCTCGTTTTTTGCATGTTTAGATAAGCAATATAAAGCTGCCTTGTACTAGTTTAGAGTGATTGTCCAAGTAGCTCAGAATTTCTTCCTAGGAACAACAGGAAGTTATGATTGTTTTAAATGAAGACGTGAAGTGGAACTTTTTATGTGAGAAACACATGCTTTGCCCACCATATTGTGATTGTTTTAAAGTTATGATTGTTTTAAATGAAGATGTGAAGTGGAACTTTTTATGTGAGAAACACATGCTTTGCCCACCATATTGTGATTCTGTTTGTTTATGTAGATAAACTGCAGTTAGGAAGTGATGAAAATGGCAATTTCTCCAACTTTTGTGTATTATTCTTTACTCAGTTTACTATATTATGCTTTGCAGCACCCTCTGAGAACTACATAAGATCCAAAACATTTGAGGGTACTTCTCCATTACATCTTTCTGCAAGTAGGGGAAACCTGGAATGTACTGCTATTCTTCTGGAATCTGGTGCTGATCCTGATGAAGTCACTAATGATGCCACCACACCCTTATTTCTAGGTGAGTATAATGTTATCAAACAGTTAAGAGTTACACAGGGAAAAATTCCTCAAATGTGGATGTTTCAGATTTCTTCTTTTCATAACTGATAGTCATCACTTTAATTGTTCTAGCTATGTGCTTTGGCATAAACAAATAGAAATATAAAAATAACAAAAATGCCATCATTACTTTATATTAATACAAAGTTTTAGCTAGTCATAGTTCTTGAATGTACCGCAAATATAGCTGTTACCGGATTGCTTCCTTTATCAATGTGTAGGAAATACAAATTCTACTATGGCAAGTGCATGGGCAGTCTGTGCAGTTTTGTTCTGTGTAGTTTTCCATTTTCCCCACTGGTGCTGTCAGTGCTCTTCAATTTGAAGTGTTGGGCAAGTGGTTCACAGTTGTTTCTATTTTAGAAAGGTTTTGCTATATGTGGGTAAGGTGGATAGGTCATTTGGCTTCACATTTTCAACATAGCTGTTCATCCTTGAGAGTAAACTATATTTGGGTTTTTGAACAGTTTTTTAAAGTGAGATTTGTGATTCATATATGCGTGTATTTTACATGATTCACCTTTTAAAAAGGCCAAAAGCTCACAGAGGGTAGGAGCATTTGTAGCACCAGGACTGTGAAGGAATGATTGTGCAAAGTAAATGGCACTGTATATATGGGTCAAGCTTTTTGGTTCTTGTGTTTTGAAGATTCCTTTCTCCACATCCACCCCTTGTTTGAATGATGATGAGTCTGTTTTAGCAGCTTGATAATAATTTTTGGATATTTCCTGTATCAGGGTACCAGACCAGTGTCACTCATTGTTGGCAGTTACTTTCAGAAGAGTGCCACGTATCAAAGTCTGTATTAGGGACTAACTTTATCCTTGTCAGTTGAATTGGTACTCATTGTGGATGCTTTATCACTGGAGGTTTTTAAGAAGAGACTGGACAGTGACTTGTCTGAAATGGTATAGCTTCTCCTGCTTGAGCAGGGGGCTGGACTAGAAGACCTCTAAGGTCTCCAGCTCAATTCTGATAAGCAAGATGCTTATTTTGCTTTGAACCAAAACCAGGATAGATTATTTTCATCATCTTTCAAATATGTTTCTTATTTCCCACATGTTGTTTAATATATCTGTTGCTATTTTTCAGGCAGGAAACTTTCTCCTTGTAACATCAGTTACCAGTTGCTTGTGCAAATGGGCAAAATTCTGTTGGTCATTTAGTTTTTTAGCTGAAAGGGAAGAAAAGGTGTCTCATTTAAGTTCTTAGGCCCATACACCAAGGTTTACTCCCAAAGACTGTATTGGAAAGGCAAGGTTGTGAAACATTTGGAGGGTTATTCAGTAATTGAATAATAGTCACAGGATTAATGGAAATGACAGTCTTTAAATAGGGAGGAATCAACTGCTATGTATGAGCCAGTAGGTGTCAGTGTTATTCAAGGAGCAGCAAAATGTTGAATTGATTTTAAACATCTTAGACTTCAGTGTATTCTTATAAATTGCAACACTTGTTTCAAAAATCCAATGATGCTTTGACTAAGGAAGAAATCCTTTACTGGAAACTCAGAATTGTGTAATTGGTCTCTGGATAGGCTGCAAAAATATCAAGATATTGGTAATGAGTAGTGGTGTAGGGAAATCACAAGGCTAGAATCAAGAGTGATTATATGCTCTGGAAGGAATAGAATTTGCCTCTGTGCATTTTGGACTGATGGCTGTCTTTGATATGTTTGCATTATGTCTTAATTTTCTATTGGTTATCACTTTGATCTTTTGGCTAAAGAACTGGATTTATTGCAGAGGAAATAAAACAATGGGTTTGGAAGGCTGCAGGAAAAAAGACTCATTAGCCATACTAGCTTCAGAATTAATAATTCTTTACTTGTCAAGCTGAATTCTAGCCCACAGGCTAGTTTTAACCTGCTAGAACTATATTTCTGTATTGTGAACAATTGTTTTTTAAGTAATTAGAGATTTTCTGCTGGATTAGAGATCTGTTATAGATTATAATGTTCTTACACAGAACTTTTCAGTTTATTCCCAATATCAACATTGCTAGCTGGTTAGTATAGTCTAATATTGCTGTACATCAGTAGATAGAAAAGAACTCTTTCTATCTTTACCTCAAAGTTACAGTAAACCAAAAACATATTCATTCCCCAATCTAGAAATCAGAGCCCTGACCAATGTGTAAAGTAGCTATGGTGTTGGTCTGGCTTATAAAATAGGATGGTAGAAAATACATATTAAACTCCCAAAAGTTCATTTTATATTGTGTGTAGGTATTAGTTAATCTTGAATTGTGGAAAATATGCCTGGGTTTCAAATTATTTATTAAAAGAAAATTTGATGTTTTGATGTCTTTTTTTTGTTTCAAATGATAAAAGAAGAGTTGTGTTTGTTTGAAAAGAGAAACCTTTTTCAAAACTCCATTTAGAACAAAGCATTACAAGAGTGCTCTGAAAATCAGCCTGAAAGCCACAGGCTCTCAATTGAACCTGGCTTCATCTAGAAATCCTGTCCAACATCTCTTTACTGCTATAGCTTTTGTTATTATTTGGGTTCAGCCACAATAAAATCTATTTTCAAAGAGTTCCTGACTTTGCATCGTCTTGATGTGTGAAGATTTGGGATTATGGAGTTAATACATCAGTGGGAGAGTCTAGTCTACATGGAGAATTAAAAGTGGTCAATGCAAATTCTTGGCTTAATGTGAAATAGAAACTGCTATGACAGTGCAATAATCAGGCAAAAACCTGGAAAGAAATAATATATTCTCAGTTCTTTCTTTGTTCAACTTTTTAAGATCATGCAAGTTTCTTTAAAAATGCTGTCCTTCACAATGCCTTTTAAACTCTTCCACCTGTATACGATAGTAATGAACCTCCATAATTTATAAAATAACTGATTCATTAGAAGCACTTACCACTCTTGGACCTTGTATCTTCAATCATCTACTCACCACTTTTTCACTGTAATTTTATAACTGTCCATGAAGCATATTTTTCATAGTATTCATCCTTCTTTTCCTAGAGTTATGAATTTATATTGCAATAGGCACATATCCATTATATATATAATGCAAACCATCCAGAGTCACCTTGCAGTGAGATGGATGGATGGCAAACTAACTACCTAACTATCCCACATGTGCTGCTTGTGTATATCAATTTCTCTGTTTTTTCTCCATTCTGTACCTCCTATCTCAATTTTGATATGGAGACTCATCTGTCTCGATAAAATTTGCTGTATTGGAGGGAATAGAATTAAAAAAAACCTTTCCAATTACAAAATTTCTACTACTGAATTGAACATTGGGTGCAATCCACAGAATCTACTTGATTTCCAAGTGCAAATCCAATATAGTATTTTCATAATATTTTTTTAAAAAGTTTTCCTTTTTGTTTTTGTGGGAGAGAATAGCACAGATAATATAAGCATTCAGGATTTTTTTCATTTTAGAAAAATATGTTTTTAGTCTGTTTGCACATTTCATATAATATACAGTATATGCAAGATATTTAAATCTTGTTGCTGTCTGATCTTGAATTGCTGATGAAGCTACAGAAAGTAATTGCAGTGATGCTGATGTTTCCAAAACTGCCTTAGCACGAATGAAAAACTACTGAATAATAATTGCATTGGTTGCCAGAGATGAGATCTATGACATGCTGTTAGGAAGATAAGTTAATATCTGTTTCTAGTTTTTTTAATTAACTGAAGGCCTAATGAAAGATGAATCTTAAATAGACTTTTAAAATAATATATGGTGGTCAAAATCAGCTGCCAAAGGGATGCTTTCCATAGTGTGGGAGCAATACAGAAAAAAAAAAAGAAAACAATTTCTTGTGAATCATAAAAATGGGCCTCCTTTAACTGGCATCTCTTCAGAAGGCCATCTCCCACATTTCTAAATAGTCTGATAAGTTCATAACAGAGATGAACTTTTAAATAGTAAGACCCTAAGCGGAAGGAAGGAAAGAAGGAAGGAAGGAATTCCAATGCTTCCTGCCAGATTCTTACAAGGAAACTCAATGGGGAAGCTGGCAGGAAGTTGGAAGTTGTTCCTGCTCCCACTGTTGTTGTTTTTGCCCGCTCTTGGTCATTCTTTTTCTCTGTTTAGGTAAGAAAATATGTCTGAAATGATGACCCAGAGGGGTATGGGTTGTCTAGTGTATAATAATAATAGCTTTTAACCCACTCTTTGAAGCTGTTGAAAACGAACATACTAATGTGATTAAGCTTCTCCTTCAATATGGAGCCGATATTAATGGATCCCACTGCTGGTCTGAATGGAATTCTTTGCACCAGGCTGCTTTTCAGGTAAGCTATAAATCCTTAATTTCATTTCCACGTGAATAAAAGTTTTACTCTTGTTCTCTTTATAGAACAGTTTGTGTAGTTTTTGCAAGCCATTTAATTTTTGATCTGTGACAGTGTAGTAAACTCAGTTTAAATGCAAATGACCATCCTCAATATGACAAAAGCTGAAGAGAGTATGAACAACATACATTTTAAATAATAAAAGTAGTACATATATTTAAGAAATGATCAGATGTAACATGGGTCATAAATCTGTTATTGAACAATAATTCACTTGAAATAATTGTTTTATTCCATTACACTGAGACCTTCAAAGAAGTAGCACTTTGGTATTTAAAAGGTGAGCGCCTGCCTATGGTTCCTCGGATAGGCTCTCCATCTTTTTAGTTCTTTGGTGTAGAAGATTGCATTCTGACATTTACAATACCTTTATATTCCACAGTTCTAAATATGATAATAGTTTTAATAATGATTGATTTGGATGGTGGCAGGCAGATCTTGTTGAAATCAACTATAATACCCAGATATTCATGTACAAGTGGGAAAGGGCTTCTGCTTTCAGAAATCATTGTGCTTCCTTATCTTGATTCAGCCCTTTGTTTCTGATCGTGTCCTATTTTGAATGAAGAAACTGTTAAGGGAATTTGAGGGAGGAATTTAAAAAGCCCCATTGTAGGAGCAAAATGTTGCAGAAACAGCTCTGGATTTAAGCCAGTCAGAATTCTAAGTAATGGGGAGTTTTTGACTGGAAGTTATATTTTATTTGACAAAATCCCTTTCATTTCATGCCTTTGTTTATTTATTTACCATGTATATCTTTAAGATCTTCCTGAGAGATTGTTAGACTTTTAGTCATCCCACAACTCTTTTGTAAACCAGTGTTTCACTTGAGCAAAATTAAATGTTACAAGAAACAAAAGGCTGCATTATAAAATGGCAGTCCTCTAAATTTGTTTTCGCTTACATTTTGCCAGTATCCCACTGTGTGTTTTCAGTTGTCACTGGTAATATTGTAATGGGCTAGCATCAGCTGAATTTAGCTTTAAGGGACCAAGGAACTGGCTACAAATAATAAAGTGGAAAAATTTCACTTCTGTAGCCATATTTAACAATCTATCTTTTCTCCCGTTTCAGAATTATTCTGAAATACTGAAAATACTCCTAGATGAAGGAGCCAACAAAGAATGTGTAGATGATTTTGGGATCACACCTTTATTTATTGCTGCACAATATGGAAAACTGGAATGCTTAAGGATACTTATATCATATGGTAATTTCTGCAAAACTACAGTCATCATGGCTTTCATTAGTAGAAGCTGTGGGTAAATTGTAGCAGATCGATTATACTATTAGCTCCTTATTTTCTGTTAAGACTTCTGATCTAGGGACTGTTTGGCAGAATACAATGCCATGTAAAAAACAGTTTGAGTGGTTTTATATTTCTTGTATGATGAGACCAAATGATATATCTATGGTCAACTTTCTATGACCTTCTCTCACATGGAATGGCTGGCAACTTCTCATAGAACCTTAGGGTTCTACTGAATCCTAATTAAGAAACTCTGGAGTAGACAATAAATAATTTAACCTGGGAATAGACAATGATAATAGCCAAAAAACATTGAGCAGTTTGGTCAAACATGAAGTAATTAGAATTATGGGATCTTCTTATTTCTTGAGTCTTTTATCAGAAGTTATGTGCATTTTTTCTATAATGTTCATAGTCTGAATGTTAAATTTTGAATGTCGTGCTAAATTTTACTGTGTTAAAATAAATGCCTAATGAACCTGGAAATAAGGATAATTCTGTCCCTATGACTGTTCTGGTGAGCAGTAAAGATCCAGCTGTTCTGTAGGGCTTTTGAAGAGAATAGAGTGATGAACATTGCTCCTGAGGGAAGTGAGGTTATAATGTTTGAATTGCATTTAATATCCTGTGTTTGGATAGAAATGGGTACATTGTTGATTTGTAGAAATCCCTAAAAGTTTCAGCAATCTTATTGTAATTTCAGTTCCTGTCTAAGCAAGGAGTATAAAAATAAGGTATAAATATGAGCCATTGAAAATTATGAGCATTATCAAATTATTAAAATTCCCTTATTAGGAGCAAACATCAATTGTCAAGCAAAAGATCAAGCCACACCCCTCTTCATTGCTGCCCAGGAGGGCAATGACAAATGTGTGGAGCTGTTACTAGCCAAAGGAGCCGATCCAAACCTATACTGCAATGAAGAAAAATGGCAGCTACCTATTCATGCAGCAGCACAAATGGGACACAGCAAGTAGGTGATATGAAAAAAAAAATTGCTCCTAGTTTCTGTTCAGCCTTGAGCTCCATAAAGGAAGAAAGATTGAGCATAAATTATGAAATAAATTAATATAAGATATGTTGAATAATGGAAATAAGACATTCCTCTTTATAACTATTTTCTAAGCAATATTAGAAATTATTTAATGTTTCAGAATTTTTACAGTTGATGAATCAGTTTTGTATCTGCTCTGATTTTGATTGGTAATAAAACCAATTTTACTTAAAATGTTTTTCTAATATATTTCACTTTCTTCATCGTCTTTTATATATTTATGATTTAAAATGTCTTTGTAAGTAGCTCAGGTTAGACATTTTCTAATGTGATATGTGGGATCTTAGTAAAAAAGTTTATTTTTTACAAAATATAAAATATTTTATAATATATAAATATTTAATATAAACTAATAAAATATTCATATAAAAATTCAAAAATTGATATTTCTCTGAAATGAGTCAGGGTATCATGACTACTTTAATGATTTCTGAATGACCCAATTTGTCCTTGAGAATTCCAGAAAACAGCAATGTTTGGATTGAAAATTTTAAGCCCTCAATCTCATGCTTTTAATCAGAACCAAAAGAACAAACCAGCAGTTTGTTGTGCGGCATTGACACAGAATAGGAAGAAAAGCAGGATAAAGAAAAAGAAACTGTTGTATGAATGGACGTTGCCTTCTTCTTTTAGGGAGTGGATGTTCAACCCTTTGGCTTACCTGGGAAGAGGAATTGTCCGGGGATGCATATAAAATCTGTAATATACCGGTAGTTAATGTATATAAATAATGGGGGTGTGATGGCTCAGTGCTTAAAGAGGCTGAGCCCAGGTTTGAGATCCAGTGTTGTGTGACACAGTGAGGTCCCATTACTTGCCCCAGTCCTGCCCACCTAGCAGTTGAAAAGCATGCAAATACGAATAGATAAATAGGTCCATCACCACCATCATCATCATCATCATCATCATCATCATCATCATCATCATCATCATAATATATTGTCATTGTACATATTTATACACAGTATACACATACAACGAAATTCACATAACACTTCGGTGGGAAGGTAACACCGTTCCATGCAGTTCAGTTTATAATCATTCTGACCACATGACCACAGAAATGTGTCTGAACATGCAGTCTCCCTGGGCTAAGAAACATAGATAAGCACCGCTCAATAAAGTGAGATATAACTGGATGGAGAAACCTTTAAGTTTACCCAAAAAACAAACTTCCATTATTTTTTATTTTCTTGTGGAACCGCATTACTAGCTGTCTCATGCAGTGCATGGGCTACGAGGTGGATATGTCTACTTTGAGGTATTTGATGTACCTTCATATATCTGTGAACCAAATGGGAAAGTTACATTCGGTAAATTATGAAAAAAACTTTTTCTATAGATAATCACCTAGCAACAGAGAAAACTATAAACCTTTAGGAATATAGAAAGCAGCTTTTCATCAAATCAGGTTATTTGTCCACTGCTAACTCTGAGAAGCAGCAGCTTTCTACTACTACCAAAGCACTTTCTTTCCCATTTCCCGACACTTCATTTTTTAAATTAGAGCTGTCAGAAATTGGACCATCTGCATGCAGAGCAGGTTCTGTGCTTCTCAAATGTGGTTACAGGAATCACAGAAGCACTCTAAATGGTTGAAAATGCCAATGCATCCTTTATGCAAGAAATAATGGGTTATTATTGTTATTATTGACCTGGCTTTTTCTCAGGCTTTGGGACAGATGGATGTTTAAGCCCCTGTTAGATGAATTTTTCATTTATTTGTTTGGACTATTCTTATTTCAATTTCTGTATTTTTCTTTGATAGTAAGCTGCCCTAGGTAACCAGGACTTGGGCAGCTTTTAAATCTGTCTGTCTGTTTAAATAATCATGAGGATAATATTACGATCAGAGTTTGTGACAGTCATTAAGTGAAGCATCCATGTGATTGCTTCACTTTGGACCATCCATCCCTGCTTTTTGCAATGTGTTTGTTAAACAAATGTGCAGGATATTACATGGTGTGCCTCACAGGTTCCTGGGACCCCCCAAGACCTCCCCTAGCCTATGAGTCAGCTGGTGCTTTGCTTCCTGCACCTCACAGTGCTGCCCCACTGGGCCCTAAACCCTCCTCCTCACCCCATTTTACCCATTGCACACTTACCTAGCAAAGGTCTTTGGAACTCAGTTAGGGAAGCAAAGCAAGCTGCTTTGTTGCTGGGCTGCCCAGCGCAATCCCAGGAGCAGCTGCCGTTATCTAAGCTGCTGCAAATTGTGGCAGCTGAGAAGATGGTGGCTGCTTCTGGGATCTCACTGTGCCCATCAATAAAGCGGTTTGCTTTGCTTCCCTAACCTGAATGGAGTTCCTGGAGAGCTTCAAAAAGTGAGCACAAGAGTGACATGAAAGATGTGGAGTCTGGTGGATGGGATAGGGGGAGATAGGTGGGGGTTCTGCAGCATCCCTGTGCTGGTCCAAATGGCAAATGACTTTGGGGATGATGCAGTACCTGTAACTTTGGGACCATATTGTTAGCTTTTTTTTTGGGGGGGGGGGAGTCTGCCATAACTTTGAACGGTTGCTAAGCAACTGGTTGTAGGTTGAGGACAACCTCAACTTAAAACCAGTTGAATTTTGTGTTAAATTTGTGTTTTGGAGAAACATTCGGACTACCATGGTTTAAAATAAAGTACGGTAGAATAGAAGCAACCCCAGTTAGGAAAAAAATACAAATATATTTGCATAAAAATAAAAAAATAAGCAGCTTAAAATCATTGTTTCATAATTTCAGGACAACTAAAAAACCCAAAAGCTACAATAGTAAGAATAAAAAAATGAAAAACATAATATAAATAGTTATGACTAAGAATCACGATCTCATATGCATCCAGCCTTTGCTAACTTCTGGAAAATTATTACTGGAGGCACCAGTTTAATATCTGGAGTGTTTCTTAAGCTTGGCAACTTTGAGATGTGTGGATTTCAACTTCCAGAATTCCCTAGCCACCCATGGGGAATTCTGGGAGTTAGAGTTTACACATCTTAATATTTCTAAGTATGATAAATACATCTAGTGGACACCTGTTCCAAAGAATAATTGTTGAAAAGCAATGCTTTCTAGCCTCAGCTTCCCCCATCTCCTGAAATTGGGGCACTATAAATAATATCTAATGGGACAGCCTTCCTTTCCTTTTAATTTAAAACATCTGTCCCAGCTTTGCTATGACATATGGGGTAATTTTATTGGGTTCCTCCTCAAAGATATTTTATATAATGCATAATAGGCAATCTTTTCAACAGCAAGATTTCTTTCCTCCAGGCTAGTTATGGATTACCTCTAAATTTCAGAGTAGTGAAGGAAATGTGGTTTTGGGATGAAGGAAATTTAAAGTCTTACAGCTTTCTGTAAACAGTTCTGGCTTTATATCATAATTTTGGCTGCATATGTCTGGAATGCTGTTTTAATGAACATACCAAGCTACGGAACTTGGGTAGATTAAAAGAAGGGCTATCAGGGAAGAGAAAATAGATTTAAAAATAAAATAGATCTCTGTCACAATGTATTAAAATTTAGATTTATCTTTGTAGTAGCTTTAAAAAATCAGTAAGATTTCTTTACTGTAAAAGTTTGTTCCCAAAACCTAGGTGCTATTTAATTTTTTAAAAAAGTAAAGAAGCCTTATTTATAGAGCATGGTTACCTCAGCTTCTCCCTCTGCTGGAAAAGGAAAAGTTCTGCTCTTTCTAAAATTTGGGGCAAAATTCCAAAATTTGAATTGAGACTGGGAAAACCATGCCAAACTAGATTAATGTGCCAAACTAGATAGCTGAAGAACTGGGGACATCTGTTTAAACAGGTGGCTTGTTTAACGTTGCACTGGCTTTTGATTTATATTTCTTTGTGGTGCTAAAGTCTAATGTTATTTCTCTGATGAATTGAGCATGTAACCTCATCAGGTTGCATATGGAGATTCCAAATCTTCTCTGGAATGATTATGTAATATTTAATACTAATTTGAAAAAACCTAACCTGTCTTCTGCTTTCTCTCAGAATGAGAAACAGCATCTTGCCTGCATTATCTTTTGTATTTTTCCTTTCAGTCAGCTATATTATTGCAATCTGAACAGGCCTGTCATTTATCTTTCACATTCATCATTTGGATTTTTAAAAAATTAAACAGGAATACATTTTATCATTTCTGTTTTTAAGATAAAATTTGGTTGTATTTTTTTCTGGTGAGATTGGTCTGTCACCCAAGGAGAGGAAGGGTGGATAATCCAGCTACATGCCCACATGCTAGATGGCCAGGATTACTGCAATGATTTTGCTTGTTTGGTTTTTTTAAATCAGTTAATTGCTAAAAAGGCAACACTGGTTTGAGAGTCCTATTTCTCACACATATTAAAATTACACAGAGGACTCAAGATGAAATGTTGCCATTCCAAAGCAAAAGATGGGCCTAGAGGAATCATATCGGAAAGAAAAGGTTTGAAACCTTCAACTTTTTACCATATGGGCTCAGTTATCCACTATGGAAGCCCTTGAACCAAGCTCAACTGCTATTAACAGCCTGAATGAAATTATACAGTGTTCTTGGCAGCAAAATTGAGGCTACTTGCCACTACCTTTTCTGGGACTTTAACCAATGTATCTTGTCTCAGCGCTGATATTTTTTAAAGGTCTCCTATCCATTAGGTGGAACCCTACTTAGTTTTATAATCCAGATGAGATCAGCCAGTTCTTATCATTTGCTGAGATTTCAATTTTATATAGAACACATTAAAAGATAGCAAATATGGATTTTGTTTTAAGGTCAGGAAAATGATGTTTTCATCTGTAAGATAGATAGATAATGAAGATTTTTTTGCTTGCACAGTAACATCAATTTTATATTTTTGCAGCATATTACGCATGCTAATACCAGTTACTGACCGAGCTTGTGGTAGTGCTGAAGGCAAAGTGAGTCCTGTCTACTCTGCGATCTACAGCGGTCAGGAAATTTGCTTGGAACTTTTGCTTAAAGAAGGTTACAGTCCGGATGCTCAGTCTTGTCCTGTTTTTGGCTGCAAATCGCCAATGTATCTTGCTTTTCAAAAAGGGTGCGTATGTTCTTTACGATTATCATAGCACAAGAAAGTTATTGGAACTATAAACCTGTGGTGGACAGGCGGCCAATAAATTTTAAAAATAAACAAACAGCCTAGCACACAAGGTGAATATTATGGGAGCAGTAACTGGTTTGTATTAAAGGTTTTTCAAACTTTCTGCTTTGAGATAATATTTCAACTTTAGTGTGCCTGTTAAAGTGGATGCTTGGAAATGCCTTAGAGTAGCACTACACAAACATATTGGCCTTAGGACCCCTTTACATTCTTAAAAATGATTGACGATTCCAAAGAGCTTTTGTTTATGTGGGTTTTATCTTGCAGTATTTATTGTATTAGAAATTAAAACTGGCAAACGTTAAAACATTTATTTGACTTTGTGACATCTGTAAAGGTCTCAGGGACCCCTGGGGGTTCCCAGACCTCATTTTGAGAACATACAGCTTCACATTTCAGGAGAAATCAGCGAATATGGGAAGGTGAAATAGTTTGGGGAAGCTTCTCTGCTGTTATTGATTCTTTTTATGGAACTGTTATTAAACTAAGGAATCTTGTTGTTCTCCATATTAGATTACAATATTTCCCATATCACGTGAGCCCTCCACAAGAGTACAATTTTGTACTCTTGTGGAGGGTTCACATGACATAGGAAACTTGTTGACAGACTCTGAAATGCTTTTTACTAAATGAAAAGGTAAAGAATTAGGGCCACAAAGCTGAGAGATTTGTTATGCTTCGCTTGTTATACTTCTACAAGCAGCTGAGGAGAATCATAATAAAAAAACTTTGGCATCCACTGCCAGTCAAATAAATTCATGTACAAGAGAGCTGTTAACAGATCTGATCTAATGGTTAAGTCATCAGGCTAGAAACTGGGAGACGCTTAGTTCTAGTACTGCCTTAGCCATGAAAGCCAGCTGGGTGTCCTTGGGCCAATCATTCTCCCTTAGCCCAACTCATTTCACAAGTTTGCTGTTGGCGGGGAACAATAGGAGGAAGAAGGTTGCATATGTTTATTTTCTTAAGTTTATAAATAAAATAATAAAGCTGGATAAAAAAATAAAAAGAAGGAAACAAATACAGAAATGTACAGTATATTATTGATTATTGGCATTATAAAATATTTTCATATTTATGAAATATTTCAGTAAAATAAATTTCAAAGCCATGTCTTGAATTTATTTGACTGGAACACTTACAACACACCATATATTTGGTAATCAAATTAAATATTTCTGTTCAATTACTCTTGGAAAGGTTTTAAGAATTATTTACATGTTAGGCATATTTTATTCACTAATTGTTAAACAGGCTTTTAAGTGGATTTAGAATAATGAAAAAAAAATCCAGGAAAATAAATTGAGTTCATCTCTTTGCAAACTTAATATCACTGCTTTACTCTCTGCTACTCGTTATTGACCCTTCAACCTATGGTTATGAAGCAAAGATTATATAAAATTAATTTTTTATTTTCAATACTGCTTTCTCTTCTTTTAGCAGAACATTTGCTCTAAACTGCTAAATCACACTTTCAGAGTAGCCTGGGTATAAGCCTAGCTAGACTTAGTTGGACATATTTCTAAGCATCCAGAAATCCCAGTACTAGGTCATCTCTAGGCACATAGCATCCTTGTAAAAAATCTTTAAGGGGTATTCTTCCCTTTGAGCAGAATTTTTCTTTGTTATAATTATTTTTGAAAGCTGTGTCTCATGAGCATTTGATATGATTTATGAAATTGAATAAAATGATTCTTTCTACAATTTTTTTTGCTCAGAATGGTTGTTTTGTAAAATGCATGTTATTAAGATGCTAATTTGCATTCTTCAGGGACATCCGTTGCATTTAATTTACAGAGGGTTAGTTGAAACATTTGTTGAACATCAAGTTTCCCATATTCTACTTTGAAATAAGAGAGCCATTTTGAAATATGTTCAAACAGATATTGCTAATCCAGTATTTCCTGGCTATATCTTTTTCTGTAATGTCTGTTTTGCTGAAACTCTTCAGTGATAAGATGATTTGACGATTTGCCAATAATAATTTGTGAAAAATGAGGTAGTGGGAAGATAAAATTGAAAACATTCAAGTCCTATCTCTATCATACTGTATTTACTATATAATGCATGACAAGGTATACAGTTGTAATGTACTATAACCACTGAACTGATCTTTGCGAGAAAGCACTGAAAGTGAAGAACAAGGAGGCAACTGTTGTTTTGTGCTTACAACTCACTCTATGTGTTGAAGTGTAAAGCACATCTTTTTATTTCTAGTGCTAAGAGATGAGAGCTGTTGCTTATGTAAGCAAAGCAGCAGCATCTGCACAAAAGAGGAATATATTGGCAGATTCATGGCAGATTCCAGAGTTTCGAGAAACATTTTAAAATATCTAACTGCTGTAAAAGAAGATGAAGTAGAATGGAATGTTCTGAACAGGTCCTTCAGATTATATCTGTGTTTCCTATTTTAGCAATAGCACCCTTAGTTGAAGGTATAAGTTGTGATTAATTCATTTTTTTCTCTCTCTCTCTCTCTCTCGCATATATACATGAGCAAACGCTTTATCGACAAATATGAATCCACCAAAGGATTTGATAAGCCAAATTCCTGGCCCCCACATGCATTTGGAGACCGTTGTCTACTGCCCTGCTCAGTCTGCCCTGTTTAGCACACCAAGGGGACTTAGTGGTTTTCAAAGTAACGCAGAGCTTTTTAGAGAGCTCTGTGTTAGAAAGATTGTTGCAGACAGAAACTCACCCCTCAGATCATGTTTGGCTACCTCTATGGATCATTCATTGAAATATTCTACTGGACTGGCATTTGTATTCAAAGAGATCAACTAATTTCATGGATGGTGTAGAGAGGTCCAGCCATTGACCTAGTGCTATTTAATAAGTCGGAATTAATCAACTAGCAAATTAACTGACTGATAGGTTGCAGGTTAATTTCTAGAAAATTTGTTTGAATAAATACTATGTTAACATTTTTAATATGATGATTTGTTGCACAGTCAGCCAGATATGCAGACTGGATTTGGCATTTTGTCTACCTGTTGAGTCATTTCCAAGGGATAGGCGGATGTGGATGTTTATGGTGTTACACATATTGTCACACCACTTTCATATATTTTGTTTAGCATGTCTGAAGCAGACTACTATCACTGAATTTTAATACATGGTCATGGTGTCCAGTATTACTTCATATGCCACTGTGAATGTCTTGAATTGGGCTATGAAAGCAATTGGACAGTTGATCATTGTATCAAGGCATTAATGCAGGAAGGTGTACAGTTTAAGATGAAATCAACAGAATAATGAGCTGCAGAGAGTTTTAGTTTGGTTTTTCTATGCACAATCACACATATTGTCACAGGATGAGAGGTGTTCTGAGTAAAGCTGCCTTTTGCAATTGACTTGATGGTGAATTTGCCAACGCACCCAAGGCACCTATTACTATTTGCTTTGCTTTGCTTTTGCCACGCTAGCCACTCTTCTGTTACTTCTAATTCTGGTTGTTGTTCTTTTCAGAACTGGTCCATTCGTTTCAAATATCCTCCTCTTGTTGGTCTGTAAGAATATCTGCATTCTTTGTTTTCAGTCACAGTATATTTATGACGTTAAACACCTTTTCTTCCAGTAGTTTGAAGCTGTGGATCCTGGTTGCTCGGCCAACAGTTCAGAGTCCAGTAGTCCATTTTTCACTAGATGTCCAGGAACTCCCAATTTCTAGCTTGGTCCTTATTAACGCAGATGAAGACTGACCCAATATGGATTTATGTCTCACCATATTTTTTAAGGGGGAAACACTGTATGTCTGACTCCTCTAATGAGACCTGTCCAGTGTGGTCGAAACTCTGGCATAGTTGTCATCTTCCTCAGAGCACACAAGCCCCACAACCATGTCAAGTAGTATCTCACTGGGGTTATTATTAAGTTTATTTGCTGCCCATCTAACCACAAGGCAACTCTGAGTGGCTTGCAAAGTGTAACATGTATATTTCTTGTTCATTTCTTGCAGAAGTGAAATAATTCTCATTCTTCTGAAATATGGAATCAAAATTCTTGAAATAGATTTAGGCCTCTGCCTGCTACATAGAAGATACAATCTCTTTCGGCATTTCTTGAGGAAGGATTGCACGCTCCCATGTCAGCTGCACCTAGTAGAATTTTCAAAGTGTGCAGTCGTTGCTGGAAATGACTACAGAGAATGGCTGCCCTCACTCTTGCTAGCTGGGTTTAATCCTGTGAATCTTCTCTTTCATGACTGGTAAGCAAGACAATATAGGCACATAAGTATACTGTAATATTGTGTATGCATACTGGTATGCTGCTAAACGTTTTAAGAAACAGCTCTGCTGGCTTCATTGCTACTACTGTGGAACAGCTGGTTAATGTACTAGGTGTTGAGGCTCACCTCTTATGTGAACCAGCTCACAAAAATAAAAAAAAAAGTCAATTGGCTCAGCAAACTGACTCCAGCTCACCACTGTGTAAATATGTTTACATATATCTCTTTGTAGGCATACAGATATCTGTTCATTCATGCATCCATATATTTTATATCATAGGAATTGTTTTTGTTACTCAGCATTACTGTGTGTAAATGCTATTTTGGATATAAGTGGGTAGTTCAGGTAGGATTTCAAATTTATGAGATTTCTCCCCTTCCAAATAGGAATTCACCAATCAAACAAATTACAGAAACAAATTTATTTAGGATTATGGAATGTTGAGGCCTTAATTTGGAGTTGATACCAGAACTGTACTGACTGCCAAGTCCTTCCTAAAGTTAAAATGCATTCCTGACAACTACCAGATTTCTTTTATCCGTTCATCATATAATAATAATAAAAAAGAGATGTGTAATTTTGTTATTACTGTGGATAAAAGTTGTTTGTCAGAAATCCATAATCTCTTGCAGATAAGTAAATTCTGATAGTAACTTTTGTCCACTTCTGTCTGATATACTGTAGTATCCTCAGTCTCACTATGTGTGGAATATTGCATATGTTTGGACGTAACATGCATGAAGCTTCTGCAACATGGACATATAGATCTTATCAGCTTGAGTTTGTGTGTCCATAAAGGATGTTTTACCAGTGTATGTTCATATGTGCGTAGGATTCACTTCAGATGGATACCTATTATTATGCGATATTCTGAATACAGTATTCAGAGTCTTGTTCAATATGTCACAGAATAGGATTGAGCTACAAGCATGAAAAATTTTTTATATGTTCAGCATGTCTGAAGCAGACTAATATCACTGTAATACTGGTATCCAGTATTACATATATGCCATTGTGAGTGTCTTGAATTGAACTAGGAAAGCAATTGGACAGTTGGTTATCATATCAAGACATTAATGTAGGAAGATGCACAGTTTAAGATGAAACCAACAGAATTTTAATATATGGTTATAGTGTCCAGTATTACATATATGCCATTGTGAGTGTCTTGAATTGAACTAGGAAAGCAATTGGACAGTTGGTTATCATATCAAGACATTAATGTAGGAAGATGCACAGTTTAAGATGAAACCAACAGAATAATTAACTGCAGAAGGATATAATTGATTTTTCTATGCACAATTAAGAGAGAAATTTAATGTAGCTATAAAGCTAACTGGAATGGAACAACAAAAGTTGAAGTTGGAAATTGAATTATGTACATGTGATAGCTTAAATGTACAAACTTTTGTTGAAATTTGAAATTGAAAGAATATATTAAAAAGTGCATAATGAAATGGATTAAGATTTTGGGTTCCAGTATACAGATGGATCACAGGAAGAGAATGTGATTAAAAGTACTGAAATTCATATTGTGTTATAATTTAAGAGAAAATTTCTATAAAATGATGTACTACTGATATATGTCACCTGAGTAATTATCTAAGATATACTGTATAAAGACATTTCTAATCAGTGTTAGAAATGTGTAAAGCACAAAGGGACAATTTTTCATGCATGGTGGATTTGCGAAAAAGCAAAAAAAATGTTTAGATACAAATACAAATGATGATTCAAAGAATTTTAATAATTAATATTCAGATGAAATTAGAATTTTTTTCTTGAGACTTTTGGTGTCCAATTAGAAAACACTCATAGATTATTTTTGCATATGGTAATTACAGTGAGGCTGTTACATGCATAAAGATTATTAAGTGCATATGATGATGCAAAGAATTTTAAAGATTAATATTGAGATGAAATCAGAATTCTTCGTATATGGATTTGGGATTGTCAATTATAGACAACTCACAGAAGACTGATTTTATGTATGGTAATGTAACAAGATTATTCTATGCATAAAGATGGAGAAATACTGGTATACCCACAGTGGATAAAAGAATTGTGAAGATGGCAGAACTAACAGAACTGACCTACTGTATTTAGTTAGGAATGAGACAATAAGTCATTATTTTGACTGATCAGTCATTATTTTGACTGATGTAAACATTTTCTTTTTTTTTTAACAAATTTTATTAATTTTACAAAACAATATACAGACAAACAAAGCATAGGATATAATAACATAAGAGATCTTTTTCTGAAAAAACCAATAAGACATCTTATTTAAAGACAGAATAATTTCAAATTATCACATTTCCATATGAATACAATTTAATATATATATTTACCTTATTTGTTCAACTTCATATCTTATCCCAACTTCTCTTTATTACTCCCTTTCCTTCTATTTATTCAAATTATATTTCTTTTACTTTAGATTGTATACATTTTTTATATCCATCTGTCTTATTTACAATTTCATTGTTCTCTTCCAACATTCTTCTTACATTCTTCTAAAATTTTATTAATTCAAACATAGACATACAAAACACAAAACATAAATACCTAAAACTTCTTTTGGAAAGCAGCTTACCCCGGGTTACCTCTTTTTATACAGACATAAATCAAATTCATACTCACTTAATATACTGTTTCATATCTTAATTAACATTCTGTATTTTCTATATATTTTCTCTCCTCTATTCACTCTCATAATTCTATTATATTTATTTCATCTCATTTTAAATAATTATACTTGTATCTTTTGTCTGTTCTCTTCAATTATCTATTTATCTTTTCTTTCTAATACAATATTTCTCCTGTAATCACTGGTTGAAGTATGACAACTTTTTATCTTTCCCCTAAATTTGACACTTGAAATAATACATACTTTCCATACTGATTCTGCTTAGCACAAAGTACTACATTTTGAAATAGTGAAACAACAATAAAAAAGGGATTGAATTTATAGTATAATTAAAACAATATTCCATAGAGAAATAAACTCTTACTTTTAAACATTTTGTATATTCCCTTTAATACATTATTAACTCATAATATTTCAATTTTCTAACTCAATTTCAAGTACTAATATCTACAATACAATCTTATATACTTTTGCAGAATCATATATTAAATTATAATTTACCCTTTGTCTCTGAAAAAAAACTTTTTTTTAATATCTTGTTTTAAACCTTTATGTCTTCTCTTCCCTTTCCCCTCCCTTTCTTATCAATTCTAGTCTTTTTACCCCCCCCATCTCTCAAATTCCACTTTTTTGATTTTCCTTCTCTGTAGTGTTTCTCTTTTCTGTTGCTTTCTGGCATTGTATCGATTTTTCATCTTATTTTCCCCTTTCTTGGTTGCTTTTTTAGGTTCTGAATTCTGCATTTTCGTTCCCCCCTATTCTTTTCAGCTGTGATTTTTTTGTCCATTAAATACTTCCTCTTGAATGTATTGTCCATTAAAGATGGCTTCTTCTTCTTCATCCCAATCCTCTTGTTCTTGTATTTCTTGGTAAGTAGAAATCGCCATTTCCAAGAAACAAAAGATAGATCCAAGAGAGTCCTTGCCTTCTTGTTTATCTTGTTGTAGCTTTTGAAATTCCGTTTGTAATTCTTGCACAGATAATGCCATTTTTTATTATTATTATTGTTATTATTTTTTAAAAGAGCAACCCAAATGTTTCTAGTCTTTCAAGAAATAGTTCCCCAAAAGTCACAAAGTCACAAAGCAATCCAAAACAAAGCAGACTGTTCCACTAACACTTTCTTCTTCTTCTTTTTTTTTCCCCCTTCCTCCTGGGGTGAAATTCAATTAGACCGTTTCAAAATAATTTTTTAGAAGCCTTATTGTCATTAATTTCTAATCTTATAAACTTCAAGCAGTCTTCAATAAAGTCTTGAGATAAAGTTTTTTACCTCTTCCTTCCCACTTATAGCAATAAACTTTTAATTTTTAATTCCAATGTTCCAAAATCTTTTATCCCCTTGGCTTTAATTTTTAGGTTTATTTACCTTCTTAGCCCAAGCAGGTTTTCCAGATTTCCATCAGCTACTTCCGTAGGGAAGGAGATTGAAAAGAAATAACTTTCACTTTCACTTTCTTCTGCTGCTTACACAGTCTTTCTGGGAACAATGTAGCAATAGAAAGGCAAATTCCAGGTTTTAAGGGCTCCTCTTTGTTCCCACTCAGCTAAAGAAAAACCTTTCACTTTCTTCCTCCTGCACTTTCTTATCCAGCTGCAGACTTCTTTGTGGTGGCCATTGCTGACCGCCGCTCCACTGCCTTGGGAAAAGGGTTTTGCCGGCTGAGGAGGGGGTCTGCAACACCCCCCAAACCCTGTCCGGATCCCCCCTGTCTTTATATATATCCCCCAAATCCACCCGGATCGGGGGTACCTCAGCAGCGAGCGCAGCAGGGATTGCGCAGAAAGGCAAATCCCTGCTGCTGCCGAAGCCTTGCCTGATGTAAACATTTTCATAGGTATTTTATATATACACCTTAGTTATTGTGTACCTCAGTCTCCCACCTGCTATTTATCAGAGTATCAAGAATTACAAAAAATCTACTTGCAAGCCTGGGATGAGTGCTTAGATTCCACTCTATGGGTATGGAAAGCAATATTATAATAACAATAACAATAGCACTCAGACTTATATATTGCTTTACAGCATTCTCTGGGCAGTTTACGGTGTCAACATATTGCCCCCAACATCTTGGTGCTCGGAATAATGGAAGACTGAGTGAACCTTGAATCCATCAAGGATCGAACTCCAGGCTGTGAGCAGAGTCAGCCTGCAATACTGCATTCTAACCACTGCACCACCAGGGCTTACAACCCAGAATACTGCCATCCTGGGAGTCATGCTATTATCTGGGCTTGTTGCATAACAATATTACTCCTGTTACTGCAGCAAAATAATAGAATGCTTCTTTGCATTTATTTCGCTTGTCTGCCATCTGTCATTTTTGTGGGATAGGTGGCTATATACATTTATCAAATAAGTAGCTTGGCATATCTTAGCATTTCTTTTAAATGGTATGAAAATAATACTGGCTTTTATTTTGATTTAAACCCTGTATCAGTCTATCCCCTCTTTTTGGGATTCTGCTGCCCGACTCTGCTAATACTTAGAATTCAGAGCCTGAGCTAAGATTTAGACTTACAGAATGGAAACTCTATGACCTAAGTAAATAATTATGGTTAAAGCTGTTGGAAGTGAACTTGCAAATTGCATGTTTTCCCCAGCGGAATAAGCCAGGTTGATAGAGAAGTTAATTCTGTGAACCAGTTTCAGCTTTCAGTGTCAAGCTCTAATAATAATTGCATTAATATGAGTCCTGATGTAACACAACACCACAGTTAATGCTGAAAAAGGGGAGAATTTGTACTACAGAGCAAATATGTGAGTTCAGGGCAAATTGCACTAGTTGAATTTTAATGGTAATTACGACATTAAGGAAAATTATTTCTGCCTTAGGCCTAATGAACAGCAAACTTGGGATAGCATTTAGCCATGATTATTATGTTAAGCTGCGCCATGATTAAATGTTCTAATGGGAGTAGTGAAAAGTTGTAAGGGGCTTTAGGGAAGAAGCATATAATATTGCTCCTCAACTACTTAATACCTGTAATGCCTCAGTTTCCTATTAACTGTATTATATCTACACCTAAGACCTTAGAACAGGAGGAAAGTGAATTGTTGGAAGACAAGGTTGGAGGTGAATTATCAGTGCAAAAAGGTTAAACAAAAACCGTGCTGGTCCTTCACAGTTCTGTGTTCTGTGTCAAATTCAAACTGTGCTGATTCCTTAGTGAAAAGCAGGTAGTCTGATTTTTTTTCCAGTGAAAGGGGAAATTGTTTAATGCTGTGTTCCTAAAACTTTGAAGAAATACAAAAATGAAAATAGGCATACTCCTTCACATGTAGAAAGGACCAAATATTTTCTCTTTGCTTTTAAAGGGCAGAAGTCACATTGTTGCAGAATACATTAGATTTACAGCCATTTTAAACTAATAAAAAGAGCCTTGTGTTCTGAAGCCAAATATCATCAAAGGTCACAAGAAACACAGCCTTGGTATGATTCTCTTAACTGCTTTGATCCTCTGTGGATACTCTTCACTGCATGTGTGAGACAAAGAAACTGATTGATTACAGTAGTTGAACAAAGTTAGGATTTCCAGTTGGCAGTATGGTTTTTGAATAATTTACTACATACTCTGTTAGTGGAGCATGTGTGTGTTTGTTATGTATTAATACCCAGAATGCAAGCATTCTGTAGTGAAGATCTATTACAGAGATACTCAGATTGCAGGAAACTGGTATTAAATTCATTTTATTGGCATGAACACAGTACTAATAGTAGAACTGACCCATATGAGTTCTATTAAGATATATTTGATACGGCATATTTCCCAGTTAAGTGAAGTTTTGCATTTTAGGGGTACATCATTAATATCCTCTAAAATTTACTACTATTCATCTTTACATTTCTTTTGTGAACTGAGAATATTATATGTTTATCTGAAAGACAATGATTGGCCTCAAATCACTCAGTTGGCTGATTAGGAATTTGAACTCCTGAACTCTTATCAGAAGCTGACATCATTCAATATAATACCCTGGTTCTTACAGTAATTTATTTTTGTTCACTTCTAGGATTTTCTCTGTAAGCAGTGATGCTCTGAACTTCCTTCTGGAATTTACTAATTGGAAGAGGCTTCCGTGGAATGTGGAACAGGATCTTTCCAGCCGCAAGGCCACTTCCGCGTGGATGCCCTGTAGTTACTTTGGTAAGCAAAGAATGAACCAGCTTATTTTTGTGTGGTCTGTTTGTTAGTGTCTAAACAACAAATAGTTTGTTGATCGATAATGCAAGGACTATAGCCTTGATCTACATGCTCAGAGAGCATACTGTTAATTTAAATATACATACAAATAAAGTATTAATCATTGCATAATGTGTTCAAAATAGGATAATTTGAATCTGATAATTTTGTGATCCAAGTGAAAAGTTTGGATTGATTTGTTCTGCGACCTGTTTGTTGTCCTAACTATCCATGGCATTCTCAGGAGCCTTTTCCAACACAAACATTAAAAAGTGTCAATACTGTTTGTCTTGCTTCTTTGAAGTCCAACTTTTGCATCCAGAGAGTGTAACAGGAAAAACTGTTGCCTATACAATTCTGATCTTTTTTCATGGCCTCTTAAAATGTTTTTCAAGGCCTTCACTGCTACTCATCAAGTGCAAGTCTACCATGTATTTCTTACTGCTGGTTCCTTAACTGTTGATAATCAATCCTATAAAACAGAAACTATTTGTCTCTAGAACATCTTCACTGTCAATTTTAAGATTGGTTGCTGTGATTATTGTATTAGTTTGGTCTTTTTTAGATTAAAATTCCATTTTTTTCAGTGCCCCTTGACTTTTGTTATTTTGTTTCATTTCAGATCCTTTATTTATTAGTAATATCATCAGCATAGTTCAGGCTACTGAGATGTCTTCCTCCAATTTCAAAATCATGCCCATCTTCTTCTAATACAAGCTCTCTCAACATACATTAAGCATACCCCTGATTAATAAGGAAAGAGTACACAACTTCATTATTTTCTGACCTGGAGACTGCTTTGCTATGGACTATATAGCTTTGTTTCATTTAAGTTTTGTATGGGGATATTGAATAATCGTGAGCTTCCCATTTTTATACTGCAGCTTGATGTAATAGAGATGTAAATCAATAAAGTACATTATGATTTCTTTTTGACAGTGTTTTACTTTCTCACTTATCCTGAAATAATTTACTTTATTGGCCTTTTCTGTGTATGATTCCATCTTCAATATCTAGAAATGTGATTGTAACAATCCTTCTTAAGAGTTGTTTAATATTCTTCTTGCTGAGATCTAGTCGTTCTTGGCGAGACTTCAACTTTTCTTTTTTCAGTTTCTATCATTCTGTTTCCTAGGCCTAGAAACATTTGTGCTTCTTACACTTCAAGTTCTCACTAATTCTTCTCATGCAGCTCTGCGTTTTTTCCCCTTCATGACTGCACTAGCAATTACAGTCTCCAAAGGCTTTAATGTAGCCACATCATAAACACTACTAATATTCTGAAAAATATAGTTCTTCCTCAGTAGTATATTGACTGCAATCTGACCTAAGGGGCTCATCGTTTGATACTAAATATTGTCAATCACTTTATATTGTCTGTCTTTGTGGATTTGTTACAATATGTAGGAGTGATTTACCATTGCTTTTCTTAGCATGGTATGAAATGATGCCTTGTTACGGTACTTAAGTAATCCTCCTCTTGCACAATTTTCCAGTATTGCTGCTGCCTGATATAAGTGTTGGTTTGCTTTAGCTGAGCAACTGGGATCACCTTCAGGCTTTGAGTGATGCTGCTGGGAATATGCACTCTTGAGATTTATTCTTAGCATTCTTCGCACGTTTCTCCCACAAACACACCCCTTGTCAGAGTGAGACCTCGTAGCAACACCTTGGTGCTTTTGTGGGTTAAAAAGATATACAAAAGAGAAAGCAGATGTATAGCTAGCATCTCGGGGTCAGCTTAATGTGCCAGGAACACCAATTTATTATTACTAATGAAGCAAATGTTTTGAAAATTGAAGGATCCTCGATTTTCTAGTTTTAAGTAGAGAGACCTTGGGAATATCTAGATTATTCTGGGCTATATGCTGAGTGGCTAGATGATTTCCTAAACAGTGGATGCTAGTGTTGAAGTAGTAGAGGCATCTGTGCAACTTGGCTTTTTTTCTTCTTCCTCAAATTAGGCTTCTGAAACCAGTGTGCTGTTGTGTTTTTAATAAATGATTCTGTGGTTCTGCTTAATCCTGCTCTGGAAATAAAGGTCATTCAATTACTGCAGGCAACAGTGAAGCTGCAGACTGCGTGCCAGGCGGGGTGAATAGTGCAGATATAGTCTGCAATCATCAGTTGCTAACTAGATACCCTGGAGACCGAAATACCATCTTTTAATAATGGAAAGGTTAGGAAATGTCTCTGATCAGAAAATGTCTCTTTTCTTTTGTGTTCAAATCCGGCAAACGCATGGAGAGAGTTCTGCCTGAATGGTGCTTTAATTAATCTCACTTTATGGTCTCTATCAGCTTGCCAACTAGATCTTTTTTCTTATTTTATTTCTGCTTAAAAATCTCTTTAAAAAAAATTGAACTTACGGTTGTTAGTATGGGCTGAATTGACTTTGTTCTAATATTTTCTTTTTTAAATATTAGGATACCGTTTTCTCGGTGAACATTCACATGATTGTATTCCAAAATACATTGACTTCAAGAAATAAAAGAAAGTATGATGAAATATATTTAATGCTATTCGAATTAAATACAATATTAGTCTCTAGTCATTCTTTATTAATTGCATTTCTATCATGTTAAATATTGGAATTTGATAATACTTTCGAAGGTTTTGGTGGGCCACATATTTTGAACATTTTCAGGTGCCTTGAAAACATAAAATATACTGTTGTGGTGTACAGCAAGAACTGGTTTGATATATCTGATAATTCAATGTCTTTTGCCTGTTGTAATCTAAATATTGCCTGGGGAATTCTTGGCAATTGTTATTATAGTATATCTAGAAAGCACTGAGTCAGGAAAGGTTTGTGTTGGTTAGATTCTGCGCAAAATAGAATTAATCTAAATTTGCTGTTGCAAAATATGATTGCCTCTAACAACTATAGATTTAGAGAGCATTAATAGTTATTATTATTAAATTTATTTGCTGCCCATCTTTCCACAAGCCATTTATTGTTTATAAATGGTTGTTAGCTACCTAAAATGCTATGTCCAAATATATCTCTGAATATTACTTGTGGAAAGATAACAGTGATCCAGGCCAGGACATTTTACTCGTGCACTTCTTAGAGTCCTCTAGTTAGCCCCTGTGGGAAATAAGATGCTGAACTAGATAGGTTTTTCTGCAGGGTGCTTATTAAATTATGTTCTAAGGGACCCAAAGGTACGCCTTTATAGAAGAACATAAGAGGAGATTGATGAGAACAAATATTTGAGCATATGTGAACCCATAAAACTAGCACCTTTTGCAAAATCTTAGCAATAAATAGGCTCACCTGAAATTGAGTATTGCTATCACATTTTTTTTTTTTTTAGTTCCACCCTGAATTTTTCCCTATTTCATCCAGGGGGATTAATTACCACATCATATGTCAAACCATCACCCTTATTTTCTACCATTCTTACTTTTTCTGTTCACTTTTACTATCACTTTCCTTATTTTAAATAACCCTAATAATATGCTGATTTGCAAAGTGAACACTCGCAATTAACCATTTCCAGCCAGTTAACTCTGGAGCTCAAAAGAAATAATCCCCCCAAGCATCATTTTAGAGCACACAGTCTTCAGATACAATCTCAATAAAAGAAACCAAATATATGATTTTGACCAATTTATGTCTCTTTCATGGGTAATGTTCTCAAATGGGTCTCAGTTAACTGCTGCCAATATCCTATATGCATATATATGCATCATCACCATTCAAAACTCCTGTGCACTGTGTTCTTCCCCATGTTTTCAGTAAAGTGAACTCCAGCTGCAGCCAATCCTGGAGATTTCCCTTTTGCTCTGAAAGTGTGCATGTGTTGTGTGTGTAGGTATATGTGTATGTGTGCACATGTATGTGTATACATAGAGAAATAGACACGCTAAATATCTTTATGTAAGTACCTGTGTAGTAGACTCAACTGATGGTAGACTGGGGGTTTTGAAACCAGAAGGTAGGAATTTTATCCCAGCCCTCACCTCCAACTTCGGGATAACAGTTTGGTTGATCCTACTGCCACCATTTCCTGATAGTTAGAACAATTAATCTGAACAGCTTAGTTTCAGAAGTTGTGAGTGCTCCATTACTGGGTTTTCAGAAGGTTTTTAAAGAATTGTTTTCCTGAATGAACATTATATGAGGTATCTATTCTCCAGTTTTGTTCTTCCTGCTAACTGGGATTCTAGTAGGTTAAATCTGTTATAGTTATAGAATATATGTTTTTCTAGGCTTAGTGTACAGTTTTTGCAGTTTTCTTTTTAATTATGCTTCTAGAATTAAAGTAAGCCAAGTTTTCCCCTGTATTCAGGAGCTGGAAAGCTGAAGTTGTCTGACTCTGGATCCCAGCACAAAGACAAGTTAACTGTCATTTGGGGGTGGAGAGGGAGGAATGGATTATGTTATCCTCAGCCCACCTCAGCCTGCTGTGAACTCCATCCAAGTTTCTGCATTCTATGCATTTTTTTCTATTTGAGTTGGTTAGTGTGTGTTTTGGGGCGTGGCAGGGCTTAACAACCATTTATTCAGCAACTGTTCAAAATTAAAACTTGTGTCTGATTATGTGGCTGTTATGACACCCCCTGCATTCAAGTGATGGTGATCTGGGAACTTGGCAACCTGTTTCAACTTAAGGTGGGCTGCCAAGGACCCTATGATCATGTTTAGTCTTCCCCTGCTAGCTTCCCCAGCAAAGCAATGGGGAAGCCAGCAGGAAAGTTTGCCAGCCATGGCCTCTTGCTCTGCCCTCTGCTTCCTGGGGCTCAGTGAAAAAGATCCATTCCAAATGTGCTGCGTGATGGAGAGTCTCTGTAAGGAGGCTGAGTGAAATTGTTCCTCTCAAAATCCAAGCAGGATTTTGGAAAGGGCATTTAAACCATACGGCATTTCCAGCCAGCTTTCTCCAGAAGTGAGAGGATTCCCTCATTTCTGGGGGCTGGCTTTGAATGCACCATACCGCACAAATTCTTCATGCCAAAATCTTGCTTGGATTTTAGGATGGAGTTCTCGAGCCCAGTGCTATAGTTTCCTTCTGCTCACAGAGGAGAACTGCCTGCCCGCTCCCCCTTTTTGGCAAGTAATTCTTTTGCTCTGCTCAATGACGCACACAATCACTTAATCACCACAACAGGGAGAGTCAGGGTTATGGTTTTTGAGAAGGTGATCATGTGGGCATCTCACTTAGGAATTGCAATGACTTATGGTTTAAATTCTGGGTGCAATTGTGATAGTAAATCAAGGACTATGTGTAAAGTTGTGTCATTAGGGTGTGTAACTTCCAGTTCTCCAATGTAGCTTCCCAATCAGCATTCCCACAGTTTCTATATAAACAGAAGAAAAGTCTTTAACAAATGTACTTGTTTGAAATATTTTTGATCAGTCGATAAAGAATCCTGCATTCCTTACTGGGTTTTTTTTTTAAACCAAAAGCTATTGGATATAAGTTGTTCTTCAACATGAGCCCGTTTATTTGAGAATGTTAGCCAAAGCACCCTTTTCCTTTTCCTTTTCTTTTCCTTTCTTTTCCAACCAATATAACTTTTCCATAACTTCTTTTAGTGCAAATATTTTTCCGTTTCCATGATAAAATTGGAAGAAACTTTTGGGACCATCCAGTCCTTTGGTCAGTGAGAGAATCTAGATTAAAGCATTCATAGTATATGTTTATTCAGCTCCTACTTGAGCATATCCAGTGAACCAGAGTTTACTACCTCTTTCAGTAATTGGTCCTGGTTGTCAAAATATTGTTAGCTTTACAATTTTCTTAACATTTAAATGAAATCTTCCTTTGAGTTGAATCCGTTTATTGTATCCTGCTCTCTGGAACAATGGATAATAGCCTTCTCCTATGTGAATCTCTTCAGATATTTGAAGTGAATCATCAAATCCCTCCCTAGTTGGCTTCTTTCAATTTGTATTTCAACCTGGTATCTGAAATTTCAGTTCTGTTTTCTTACATGTTTAAAAACATTGGAAATGTAAGTTTTATACATCTAATCTATCCCTTCCTTCCTCCCTTCTATCCATCCATCCATTCATATGCACACAGACAGAATCACACCACATACAGTACATACATGAAATAGAGAAATAAATCAGAAAACCTGAATGAAAAAAAGGAAAAGAAAAGTTGCTGTCTCAACACTTAGGCCTGCTGCTTACCCTTATTTCAGGAATCCTGATTTAAATCTGCTCTGCTTTGTTAGTGGCTGTCCTTTGATCTTATTTTTTTTAATTTTAAAAACGCTGTTTATTCTTATTGTTTTAGTCCAGAATGTAGCTTTCTTTGAAGATTAGGTATAAGAAAGTCAAGGATTTCCCATTCAATAAATAATTAACAACCCCCTTTTTTCCTACTATTATCAAAGAGGAAATATAAATATACAAATTTTATTGTAAAACAGTAGGAATTCCAGGTATTAGTCCAGAAGACTGTTTGTACCTCCAAGGGAGACAGAGTCAAAGAATGGCTGAGACTAAGAGTAGGTCCTTCAATTCATGAAGGAATACATCAGTTCAAGACTGTAGAATTTTGTATGAGGCCCATTGTTGTTTCCTTTGTAAACTACAGAAGCAGTTCCCCCAAGTCCTGGCTGTGTCCTTCAGAGCACCAAAAATTGTTATCAAATGGTAACAGTGATAATTTTTAATGTGACAGAAAAATAGAATTCTTATATTACATAACTTGTCAATAATTGTTATTTGCTATATTTAAGTTGGAATTGGTTGAAATAAGATCCAATTTGCTCTGAATTCTGTTACTTTATGACAAATAGCCTAGGACATACTTATCCATCAGAAGCCAAGTGTAATTCTTGAGTCAGGAAAGGTATTGGCTTCCCTCTGCAGGCCTTTGGTGATGACCACTGAAGCAGAAGGTTCATGAAACATTCAGTTATTTTGCTCCTGATAAATGCATGTTTTTTTTCTTGTGACAGAACATATCCCATCTTTGTCTCATCTCTGCCGCCTGGAGATTCGGTCACTTTTAACAAGTGTTTGTTTGCAATCAGACCAGCACATCCGCCAGTTGCCGATACCTACTTGCCTACAAGACTTTTTACTTTATTTGGATGTATTAAGAACATACTCCATTTCAGAATCTTGGCTTAAGGTGGGAGAAGTCAATGAAGAAAGTACCCTGCCATCTTGTTCTAATTCAGAACATAAAGAAGAGAAAAAATAGAACTGCTATCTGAATGTTTAAAGAGTTTTCCACTTTTATAAAGAATGTTCTGTTTGGTGGTTGTTGCAAAGGTATTCATTTCTCTTCTGTCGCTCACTATAAGATAATTTCATTCAACAGTCCAGAAAGAATTTCCTCACATGTCTCTCAAATGTGTTGGACTTAAATTACAGCAATGTTTTGAATGCACATGGATGCTTTCGGATAACTTACATCTTTTGTGAGTTTCCACTCAAAATAAATAAAAAATGTCATATAAACATAGATCATGTCAATGATCAGTTGCATCTAAGACAAGCTGTGATGACATCAAAATGACAACCTGTGTGACTTGACCTTATGTGGCAGACTTTTCATGCTACTATGACATCTGATACAACAACTTTCTTTGTGTAACAGAGTTATCATACATGTTTTACTCATTTGCCCTCCAGGGGATACTGATGACAGTGGTCACTCCAAAATTAAAATACATTTCTTGGGAGTATTCTTGATAAAGTATTTTGTTGTTGCCTTTGCTCACAATAATATGAATTTATTAACAATAATAAATGAAATTTATGAAATAAATAAATGAATTCATGTCTTGCCAGAGATCTCACTTGAACAGGCTCTGTCCTAAACATCATGCTTTCCCGATCAGGTGGTCTCCCGAAGTGTGGGACTACAACTTTCTCTGATGGCTGGCGTGGCTATTGGTATGACAATCGGGAAGGATGGGAATTGTGATTCAGCAAATCTGAGGAGCATAGGCTTTGGGAAGGTTGCCATTCTCTCAATGAAGGGAGAGTCTTAATTAAAATAATTTAGGTTAAAGACAAAGATTGATCCTGACTGGGACCCTGGAGAGATGCAGCCAGTCAGAGGAGACAGTATTGATCTAAATGGATGAATGATCTGATTCATTGTGAAACAGTTTTCTCTCTCTCCCATACAAAATAGTTACAATTCATCCTTAGAAATTCCAGCCTGTAAGTGATAGTAAAAAACCATGAATGCACAGTATTTTCAGGGATGCCTGCAAGAAGGCAGGATGGAAAATGCTGCATTGTGATCAAGACCTGCCTCTTTTCTGTGTGTGCCATGCATTTAAAGAAAAGTGGCAGATTCTTGAAGATGCTGCTGTTTTGTGTGTTGCAGTGACTAAAAAGTGCAGCAATTTAAAGAAGATTGGAGGGTATCTTGCTTTCAAATTAAGTTATCAACAGCTATTCCCCAAATAATAAAATAAACAGTGCATAGGTCTGCATGCACCATCACAGCTAAAAATAGCTTGAGACCAGCTGCCTATACTTACGAAGGTTGTGTGCTTGTGCAAAACATTTGTAAAGACTGAGGACATTCAGATTTTTGCACTACTTTGTAGAATTACTAGTATACATATGGCAAAAATTAACATAGCATTCCTGGCTTATGATATTCCTAGCAGGTCCTTTCAAGCCTCTTTATAGAGCTATTGTTTTTCTTAAAAAAACATTGTCATATTTCCAGTATTCACTGCTAAAAGATATGCGCCCCCATTCTCTGGACAAATCATATTTCCAACCAATTTTTTTCAGACACCCTGCTCAAACTATTTTCCCTGCCTCTACCTTGCTTCTCATCTTACTACCCTGGTTCTTTACTGCTGGATATAGATTACAAATGGTTCCCAAATTTCTAAATTTACAGATCAACTCTTTTTTTTTTTTTTACAATGCAGTTCTACTCCAGGGAAAAATACAGTGAGGCCACTTTTGGGCTAACAGAAGTGAGCATAAATATTTCATGTCTCATTTCAACTGAGAGCGTGGAAGGTGGTAGCAGAGGCAGGAACAATGTCTCTGTATTTGCTACACTGCAGTGATACTGTGCTGTGAAACTACATTTTTGTCCTTTAAAAATCAAATACATTTTATTTTGATTCCTCCAAAGACACAGCAGAAGAGGGTGACTGCTGTGCGTCCACATCTAAATGGTACTGACTTGATTTTTTATGTATGTAAGTTATGCTGATTGTATGGCATCATGTTGCGGCATGCGGCAGAGTGTCAGAAGAGATTTATTTCAAATCGTCATGGATCCAGGAGGTTCAGTGAGAGGAAAAAACTCCAACTGTAATCTCTCACAGTAGCTGACTTCATATGATTGTTAGATAAAATAGCAGGAAGAAGAATTATCTATTCTGAATTTCTTGGATAAGGCTGGGATAATTGTGCTTAAGGCACCAGGCTAGAAATCTGGAGATCATCAATTTGACTGAGGCATAAAAGCCAGTTGAGTGATCTTGGCCCAGTCACTTTCTCTCAGTCCACCCCACCTTATAGGGTGGTTGCTGGGAAAATAGGATGAAAGAGTACCATGTATGTTTGCTGCCATGAAATTATTTATACAAATAACACACACACATTCTCTCTCCCCACTCTCTCTCTCCCCCTCCCTCCCTCCTTCCCTCCCCCCCCCCGCTCTCTCTCTCTCTCACACACACACACACAGTCCTGAGGTTAAAAACATTTGATTTAAGGACTACGTAAACAGACTGCCTATTACTAAAAATGGCAGACAACATTCTCCTTCCTCAAGATGATAAACTGGTGAAGCCACTTTTTACATTACCTATAATTATTACAAGCCAGTTTTATAACTACAAAATTATTAAATCTTCAAACTAAATTCTATTTTTTTTTCTGTTTCAAGCATAAAAACTAGAAGCAATATCCCAATAGAAACAAGACCAAATAAAATCTCCTTGTTTAAAAGTTTACATCACATCTTAACCATTATTCTGTTAACTTCTGTTCAATCCATTATTCCTCCTTTTTCCCTCTGAGAAATGATATACATTTCTATTTACATTTAGTTATCTTTCTAAACCATCTGTATTAACAAAAAACACTTAAGTTCTTTCAACCACTTTTCTATTCAAGACTAAACATTTCTTTAAAAATTTCATCTATAACTATAATTAATTCTAATGCATCTTTTAACCTTTTAACATATGCTTTCAAATTCATTTTGAATAATATTTTGCAAACTTCAGGAATTGCTCAAAAGTATACACACACACACAAAGTCAAAAACTTATTTCCCCCCTTTCCTCATCCCATTCTCAAGCCTCTTTGTATGCACAAAACAGTGCATATGAACTTTAAAGTTGTTTTGATTTTAAAAGTAGGTTATGTGCTTATAAAAATGTGGTTGAGAAGAGCTAAATTCATATGAATCCTCTGGCTGAGTGTTGATTAAGTACTCAAATACGGATAATTCACAATTGATCCCAAAATTTATGTTGCTAAGTGAGGTAGTTGTTAAGTGAGTTTTGCCCCATTTTATTTTCTTGCCAGACTGGTTAAGTGAATCAGTGCAATTATTAGTGACACGGTTGTTAAAGAAATCTGCCTTCCGCTTTGACTTTGCTTGTTAGAAGGTTGCCAAAGGTGAACACCTGACCCTGGGACCTTGCAACTGCCATAAATACAAGTCAGTTGCCAAGCTTCTGAATTTTGATCATATGACCATGGGGATGCTGCAACAGTTGTGTGAAAAATGGTCATAAGTCACTTTTCCCAGTGCCGTAACTTCAAATGGTCGCTAAATCAACTACCTGTAGGGTCTCAGTTTTAGCTGCTGGCATACCTTGTAATAGAGATATGCTAAGTGGACAATAAAAAGACAGGGAGACTGGCCAATGGGTGCCTGGCAACATTCATTCCTCTCTAGTACTGGTTTAAAGTGATAATAGGCCCTTTGGTCTTACTACTAGACACCCTATTCTCCCAGGATAAGGCATGATTAGAACGATGCTGAAAATACGAGAATATTATATTGCTTTGTAGGTATACTGATCAGAAAGTTCAGACATAGGAATCAGTGAGAGAAGATGGGCAAAAGTATTTAACTGAACAGGAAACACAGTGTAATAAAAGTATAGTGCAGACTTGCTTATTGCCGTTACATCCTTCAGTTTGGGAATGGATACCTAGTGGCATTAGAGACATCAGGAATATATTATGAAATAAGGACCAAAATAGAAGATAAAAGTAATGAATACCTGCTGAACATCAGTAGTGGGATAAGTTACTGTTTCCAGACCATCTTATCTCTTTCCTTGTATCATAAATTTTTGTGTGTTTAGAAACTATTTACTGGCACAGTTAATTTTTTTTTTTTTATCTTCCTGCTAGAAGGTGAGCTCCTTATTGACTAACAATAAATCCTCTTCAGATGCCAGATACTAAAGACAGTTAAAACTGTGTTCTTGCAGCTGAGGAATGTTCAACATTTGGCCAGGGAATAAATTTCACGAACTATTTATGTCAAGTCAATAAGGGTCTTCAGTTGTATAGGGTTCCCCATATTAATACACTGCTTTGATAGAAGAAATACAACACAGAGGGGGCAGTGAGCTGTGGGGCAGTTATTGACCTGGTAATATAATTGCAAGTTTGTTGGAGAATGACTGGAAATTAACGGCATAATTACCCTAGAAAATCACTATTGCTTGCACAGTGGTGCTGTAATCTTTAAAAGCTATTTATTGTTATTACGTGTTTTGTATGGAGGGTTGGTTTGAATGGCAGAAGGCAATGTAAATGAGGTATATGTGTGTATAGTTTTAAAATATGCATCAAGAATGGTTATTATTTTTCTCATCGATAGAAATGGGTTTCTTCACTTTTTTACTTTTTTTTCTTTGATTTCCAAAAACCTAGAGTTCTTTACAAGAAAACAATAAAAATGTCTTAAATAAAATTTGATAATGTTTAGGTACAGGATGTGTGAAAACGTATAGAAAACGAAAACAGCTCACCAAAATAACAAACAGTCAAAAGTGTGATCCTACAATCCCTGCTGTCCTACGATTGCCTGGATGAATAGTTCCATAATTGGAGCTCCACCATTGTCTGGTAAGCCATTAGGAGAAGTCTGTGGATAGAAAATGCACTAAAACGAATATATGCACAGATGCATTTGTGTGTGGCTAATGTCTGGTTAAATCTAATGGTGAAATGGGTTGGTATGTCAGTCTTTGAATTCTATAATGTCAGTTTCATCTCTAATTACTATTCATGTACAAGAGTACATATCATCTATAAAAGTGGAGGATTTTTAGCAGGTAAATAGCAGGAAGAAAGCAGGTGTAAAATCATCAATTTTGGATCTCCCATGTTTTTTAAAAAAAGGAAGATAAAACTTACACAAATCGATATAAAAGTAAAAAGAAAAATTTTCTTCTCACTGATAGCACTATGGCCAGAGAGGAAACAATAAAAATATCTTAAATAAAATTTGATAATGTTTAGGTACAGGATGTGTAAAAACTTGCACAAAACGACAACTGGGAAACACAGAGTTTGAGGAGTTAGCTATCATTTCATCAAAGGAAGGAGCCATAGTTAAAGTAACTTGGGATAAAGCAAGGCTTGCACTAAATGGATGAACGATTTGATTCATTGTAAAACAGCTTCTTCCATGTTGGAGAATTCGAATTCTGATTCAACAGATCTGGAGTTCCCAGAGTTTGAAGAGGCTGCTATCCTAGCCATCATCTTTGGCTAAAGAACCAAGGCAAATTCCAGCTGATCACATGGAAGAAGCTAAGTCTCCCCG